CCAGACGAACAATACTGAACCAGAGCAACATCAAAGTCGTGGCAGGAGAGTTCGGCGGGTGCACCGCAGGAAGTGAGAGCGCGCTCTAGCAAGAGGGGTCCGTCTGGGCCAGACCAAGTTGGGAGACAAAGGGTCTACTCTTCACAATAGGGCAGAAACATAAGTCAATTGATCCTATTTCCATTAGGAATGGTGTCCACTAGGCCTATTCATTGGACTGTACCTTTTTTCATATTAGTGAGGTTATAGTGGTTTTAGAAAGGATGCAAAATTTCCCCCCATGACATTTTGGCCCAATTTGTGCAGTCCTTTATTATGCAGGTAGCATGGCTTCTCTGCTCCAAACTCCTTTGGGCTTGAAACATATATTAAAAATATGTTAAAAATTTTAGCCCTCTGGGCCTGCACGCATGTCTCTAAGTGATCAGAAAACTAGTATTCTTTGGCAGCAGACCAAAGTTGCACACATGGAGTTGCACACCTTGCCATTAAATTAAACCAGTAATCCTGTTTGGGTCTGTGTTACATTTAACAGCCAATAAGACACATTTATAAAAGAGGTAAGCAGGACAGCTTACGTTCTACATAAGCAGTGCTTTCTAGCACCTGCATATAGGAGTGTTTTAATGACACCAGCTCTAAAAGGGGCTTAAAATCACTGACTAAATATTATGTAGTAAGGAAATTTGGGGCTACATGTTTTGTAAAACAAGTTTTTAAAAGGACTGGCTGCTGTGCCAACTTATCTCTCAACTCTATTCCTTAGGCTAAAGGTTGGGAAGTGAGCTATTTCTATTGAAATTCAATACTTTTTATTAATTTACATATACACACACAATTTTTAGCTTTTGAGTTTAGAAGTTACATATGGACAGTGAACTCAAGACACGATGACCTTTGAAAACACTAAAAGGTAGCACACATACAAGTGGCTGAGTTATCATTCCAGAAGCAAGCTTATTATTGGGAAATTCCTGGCTCGATCTGTGAATTTCAGCTTTGTAGTGTCACTACTTTTCTCCTTTTTCCTCTAAAATAAAAAGTATGGAATATGACATACGCAGTTCTTTGGCTCAGAAACTCAAAAACTCAAAAACACTGCTGGAAAATACCACTGCAAATTGCAAATTCATTGATTCAGAAATAAAGGCTCCCTGGTCATCTTATAAACTCTGTCTGCTTCCAGTCATTCTAACTAATGCATTTTAACTAGGGCATCTTTAATGACCTTTAATTACCTGCCCAAATGTCTAAATGTCTGCTGAAATTTGCCTAAAAACAGCATTAAATGTCAACTTCCTCTAAAACTGTCATCAGCAGGATAATTTTTTTTCTGCATCCTAATCACTTGAACTTTTAAAGTATTTAGAAACTGAGGTTCATGCAGAATACTGATTTATGTGTATTAAGAAGTGCCTAACATACATAACAGACACCAGTCACTGGTATAACAACTTTTACATGAAAAGCCACAATTGATTTGGGACCTGGCAGCTTGGAGGTTTCTCTTTCTCCATAGCTCCATGGGCAACTGGTGCCTCCTGAGTCTGGGGGGACACCAGATCGCAAACCTCAGGACCACCAGCGGCAAAACCAGAAGTGCACTTCCGGTTTTGCGGCTTGTGCTTCCAGGTGGTGCACAGTCAATCTCAGGGAGTGCACGTGCACCCCCCCACACGTCGCCAATGCATAGCTCTTATCATGGTGGTGTTCTAAGTTACAGCCCCTGGGACTTAAGATAAAAGGAAGCCTATACATATGCTCGTGGGTGGGGGGAGGGGGAGCGTTTTAATTAGAAAGCTTCCCAGGTAGCTCACCGTCACATGTTTTAAGCCCCTACGTGTTTCAAAATGGCCACAGCATGCTTTATCTAAACCTCATTGAATGAATTTTAGACAAAGCAGTCTATGGCCATTTCAAAATGTATGGGGGGCTTAATACACGTGACAGTGAGGCAAAGCTGCAGTGTTTTAAGTAAAATGTGAACAATCATGTCTATAGGCACACAAAGTGATTAGCAAAACATTTTCTGTTCATCATTTTTGACTCTGGTAGAAGTTACACCTCCATGGCTTGACAAAGCCCATACTTGTTGAACTTTTGGGAATACTGCATCGTTCATCTAACTGATCTATCTTTAGGGTGCTTTGGTAAGGGAGTTTATTTTTATAGCAGATTGCAACAAAATTATGGACCCAAGAACTGGGCTGGGTAAGCAGCTGCTCCTTTAAGATGTGTATACTTTATTTCAGCAGTACAGGTTTCAGGTACTTTTGAAATAAGTCTGATTTCTTTTAAACAAATAATATGCAGCAAAAATTTACAGTACAAGGGAAGAATCACTTTTTTTCTCTCAGTTCTTCCTCCCTGTTAATGCACAGTATAGAGAGTGGATTGGTCATACTGATAGACATGTAATGGATCATTAGTCAACTTCTTCATTCCCTCCTCCCATCCCACCGATGTTGTTAAAGCAATAAACAGAGTTCTACCAGGTATCATCTAAGAGTGATTTTCAAGATAAGAGGTCCTCAATTCACCGTTTGTTCAAAGTGATTCAATCAGAATAATGTATTCTCATGTAATTTTTGCCATTCACTTCTTAAATGTCTTAATTTCCCATTCAAATAGAAAATTCCTGCTTTGATACTTTATATTTTCTTGTTTTGACTGCTTTTCCAAAAAGAAATGCATAGCAGATAGCAATTTATCAATAAATATTTTTTACTTTCTATCCTAATTTGCAGCTGTAAAACTGGACCCAGAAAATAGGATTTTGCACACAACAAATGAACAATTGTGAATTAGTGTCATGTATACTTCCAGTCTTACCCTCTCATATTATGACAAAAACTCCAATATACTTATTTTTGGTGCAATCAACTAAGTGAATGTGCTACAATATAATTACTAAATATCTTGCCCTTATTATTGTCCTTAATAATATAACTATTGATTCTTTGGCTTATGTCGCTGTGATAGATAGGCAGCTTTACATTAAAATTAACTTGTTTTATAACTTTAACGGGAAATACAAATCAATTTGTAAAGTGAAGAGAGATCAAGATAAAAATGAAAGTGAAATAGAAACATATAATAACGCAATAGTGATTTTATTTGCAATGTAAAAACAGCATTAATAGTAACACTGCTTTCTCCCATTTATTTGACTTTAATATATTGAACTTAGCAAGTTCATAAATTCATTCAGAGGCTCTGCAACTTAGCCACCAACCAGCACATTTGCATTCTGTTGAATGATTTCTGCAAATACTACAATCATAAAAATACAGGATTGTTTTTATTATTATTGGAATAACTTAAGATATAGCAATTATGGTACCCTTAATAAACCTTGATAATGTGTACCATTTATGTGCTTTAAGAAGTGCTTAGGACAGAGGTAAAATATTCATTAACCTGGTTGTTCTTTTGCACAAAAAAAACTTCCTTACTATCCTGAAGTGAATTACATAATAGAATATACATACCCATTTTTTTTCCTAGTTAAATAGCCTCTTATCCATCTTTGAACAATCAGAATTGGTGTATGATGAGCTAGAACATGATTGATTTTTGAAATGATGTCTTTTACCCAGTTTATGGCCTCCACAAATGTTGCTTCCTGCATGAATTCAAATAAAAATCTGTTGAACACACTGTGCTTTAAAATCCACACTTCTCTAATAAATAATTTGGAAGCAATGGATTTAAAAGGGATTATTTTAAATTTCATTCCATACCTAAGGATTAAAAGGAAGGAGAAGGGTCCTCTATGTGAAGAAAGCTTAAAACAAGCCGAATAAAACTCCTAGTCAATATAATTGAAACAGAGATGGGAATCATTTCAAACCATGAATTAAAATGAGTCCATACCCACCTTCTCATATAAAATATACTATGATACAGTTGTCTGTGAGACAATCCTCCCTATTATAGGTATGTCATTCATTTTATATTTCAAAAAAAGTCATTAAGCTCTCAAAACAAAGATAACCCTTACGATATTAAAGCACTATTGTTATCAGCTAGTAAAAGTCAATGAAAAAATATTATTTTTTTCTTTGGTAAAATATCTGTTAATTTTGAAAATGAGAACACAGTGTAGTACATTTAGTCAGTATGAGATAATATACAGTTAACATTTCTACAGTGTTTTGTCAAGTCTGGAGTGAAAAATATACCTGTCTCATTTTTCACAAAATGCAATGCCTTTTCTCAGCAACAGACTCCAATGACTCCAGTTCCTATTGTGTTTAAAACAATAGGAAACTCACCTAAACCAGAGGTTTCTACATCTAACTGTTTGTAAAAGTGACAAATATAGATTTCAGAAAATAGAGATTTCTCTTAAATCAGAAATTTTCTGATATAAGGAACAGACTTCTCCTAATAGCAGACAGGGTATTTCAGTATCTATTTCTTACAAAACCAGACCTGGCTTCTAATAACTGGGCCAAAGCTTTCAGTCTTACTGAAGTAGGGAATGCCTGTGAAGTAAAATGCAGTTCCTCAATTCAGTAATGTGGGTGGTATTCTTAAAACAAGGTTGAAGAGAGATGTCTTCTGTCCCACCCAACCCCTACTTCCAAAGTTTCCATTGTAAGGAATTAAAGAATGTGCAAAGTTAAGTTAACTGTACAAACATATTAGATCATTATAACCCTCTGCTGCCATTTTCAGTAAGATAAAGTTGCCCCCACCTTCCATTAAACACTTCCAAAAAAGTTCCCTTTGCAATCATGCAAAATGCTTTTTCCCTAAGTTATATTAATATTTTCTAGATTGTTCTCATCTAAACATGTTTTCCCATCCATTGAGATTTCTTCTATACTTTTGGAGGTTCAAAACCCATGTAGCAAGTGTCACTGGAAGTTACTCCCTCCCTAATATATGTTAATTTCCTATTGGTATGGATAAAAGCTGCACATCCTTCTGAGCATGTACTGATGAAAGCGTTCCTAGTTGGGTTTAACAGGTTTAGACTTTTAATGTGCAAATACACTGCTAAGTGACGGAGGTCACTGCACCGTCTTCTGCAACATATAATACCCACCGCTGTCAGGGACAGAAGACTGAACTAGATAAATGAATTAATTCACCATCTCATTATCTATTTTCACAACATCAGAGGTGTATGAGGATTTTTCAGATACATTGTTTTAGCTCAGTCACCATGGATTATTATACTATAGTAGTTTGGATCTTGAGGTGTTACAGCATCTCACTAACCTACTGAAAGAGGAAATTATATAATGTTCCCAATCTATGATAAAAACTAAAGATATAGTTTGTAAAATGAATATTGTGCTAGTCTAGTACAAAAGTGTGTCATTTCTTATAAACACAATTTTCCAATTACTTTCAAAGTACATTTTCAAAGGATTATCTCTTTTATTAACTATCAGCATGCCGCAAACTGTAGAAAGATAAAGAAGTGACTGATTGTAAGCAGACTTTAGAAATCATCTGAACAAGCAGCAGCTATAGTATTTCAATGGCACATGGCATAACTAGAATTAAAATATAGCCATTTACAAAACATTATTAGCCTGCATCCAAATTTAAAAATATTAGCCTTTTAAGTGCCTTTCTAATATGGCAGTTATCTTCCCTATACATGGAAGGTAACAGTACGTTTAAAATATTATGTGGCAAAAACTATTTATTGTCCTACAAGCCACTTCTCGATGTAACCACTTGGATTCTTCTTGTTCTGTTTTAAATCTGGTTAGTATTATGAAGCTGCCACTATGAAAATTACTGCATCATGATAGGTTTCTGTGCATTCACCATTGATGACAAGACCTCTAGGATGTACCCACAAATCTAGGAAAATGGACAGTATTTACTTTAACAGACATGCTCAGAGGTTGCGGGAGCCAGAAGAAACAAGGGGCTTTGTATGTTGGGGCTTTGGCACAGGTTACCTGTATAATGTCAGAAATCCCTGGAACATTGTGATGTTATAAAATTATGGTGTTTTTAAAGCAGTCTCAGGTCTTCACACCTTTGTGTCATTTCACCCCTGTATGACCATGACTTGCCACTAGATGGCTGGTGAGCAGGGGAGTGCACAGGAGCCAGGACTCTGTTCCTCCCCTGTGGTGGGAGAAGAGAGGGGAGGGTGGCATATAGCCAGGAGGTAGAGAAACCAGCATGGGGTCTTCCCTCCTTCCACATCCAGCAGGAGCCCAGCCAGAGCAGAGGGTGGGTGGGGGAGAAAACTGCTTGAAGTGAGGTAGGGAGGAGGTGAGAGGGAGGAAAGCGAGAGAAAGAAGATACAAAATTAAAGGACTAAAATCTTGCATGTGTTGCAGTGAATTGGGATCGAGGTGGAAGGGGCAGTCTGCTTAAGGGCAACAAGGGTTGTGCTGACTGGGAGTGGCGAGACCCTGGGGCTGGGGAAAGCGTGTTTTCTCCAGCTCCAGGGTCCCACAGCTGTTAAGCCACTCTGAGCCCAGCAGCCACCTCAGTTTCAGCCCAAATACAGGTCCCGGAAGAGGTTGCTTCCCCTCCACACTTACAGCGCCAGCTGGAGTCCAGGAGAAGCAGCCTCCCTGGGGCTCAGCACTGGGACTGAAATTGAGCTTACTGCAGCCAGATTATGCAACTGAGGAAGCTGCCTTCCCTGGCTCTATGGTCTCTCTGCAATTAAGAGAAGTTGCTCTTAGTGGAAAGTATGTTGGGGGGAGAGGGGAGGAGAAGGGCAACTAGCGTCTCAGAGGTAGGAAGGGGCAGAGAGCCTGGGAGCCGTGCATCCTGGACTCCTGAAGGAATTAAATCAATCATTTACCTCCCCTGACCATTCAAACAATACCCTGGAATTGCCTGGTGTAACAGAGCCTTGGCCTCTCTGTTCCTTGAAGGGAAAAAACAGCTCTAAGAGGAAACACTGCAAGGCAGGCAGGGCACAGCAGCTGCAGGCCATGGGGGTATAGGACAATTAAGCCAATTAGCAAGCACCTGCAGGCAGCCCAGGTTGTCTGTTGACCGGAAGGGGCAAGAGTCCTGGGAGAATATAAGCCTGAGGCTCGGGTTAGCAAGCTAATCTCTCCCTGGCAGCAGGGCTCCTGAAGGGACTGTGGTGCTGCATATGGAGCCCAGGTGTCACTTGGGGAGCTCACTAAGATATAGCTCAGGGCTGGAAGGCTATCCCAGCTGAGAGATGAGGGAAAGTTCTCTCTCTTATAGGGGCAGAAGGCTGCTTCCCCTTTTGGTATATATGTTATAGCCCGGAGGCTTACTGTTTATGTTGAAGTTGCACCACTGGTTTGGGATGGGACTGTAGGGGCAGTATACGTGAAGCAAGTAATCATCTTGAGCCCTGCCAGGAGCAGGCTCAAGGCCCAAGTGAAGGCTGAACCCAGAGCAAGCAAGTGTGAGGCAACCGAGCCACACGGGGGCCGGGGGCCCAGTGCCCAAGAGGGGCACAGCCACACAGGGGCCAGGAGCCAGAAAGAGCTAGACCAGAACTGGTGGGTCAAAGTCAGATCCAATACAGCAGGCCCAGGCTAGAAGGCCTAGTTGAGAAGAAAGGGCAGTGCCCAAGGAGGCTGAAGCCCCAACAGGTGAACAGAAGTACAGTAACACCTGCGTGGCTTGGGGCATGGTGTAGGGAAGGAATGGAGCCATGCAGTTAGCCCTTAAGGCTGTGGGTGACCCACAGTGGTACAGTCTAGGTAGGCCCAGCAAGAAGCCTGGGAGCTGTGCAGTAAGGACTAGCAGGGTGCCGGGGAACCCCAGTGGGGGAGTTTATCTAGACTGGGGCCCACACAAAGGCCTGTGGGAAGCTTCCCTTTTCATATTATTATTATTCCATCACGGCATGGCAGGCGAGAAGGGAAGGCACCCTAGGGCCAGAGCAGGGCATGGTCACAGAGCTACCAGGGGATGTCGCGGCTGCCCCTGGGGCCCTGATGGGCTACACATGAGTAAAACCTTTCCCCAGTAAACTTCCTTTTAAGTGGTTTATCTTTAAAACATTTACAGGGTATTTGTGGTAGTTTAACACTCCTTAACTAATGACTGCTTTCATTTTAAATGCTTTTATGATGTTTAAGGTAACCTGTGCCAAAGGCCCTTGGTTTGTTTCTCAATCTGGCTAATTTAGAAATGGGATTTAAGCACTGGTTCTTCAAATAGAACAAAGGAACAGAAAGGAGAAAAGAGAGGTTTAAAAAAAACCTCACAGAATGAACACAGGGGAGGTTTTACTCAAGCACACAAGAAAGCTTATCCTGAAGAGGGGAAGAAATTAGTGTGCTTGCTGTGGAATCAGTCAAGAACAGAAATGCCAAACTAAGCTGAAAAGATTTCATAATTCTGAAGACTGTAGACCAGGCCAGCCTGAAGAATATTGCAGACTTATTAAGTAAACTCCGACTAGGAAACGTATGCAGCATTTATTATTTTGTCTAGATTTGTTTGAATAAAATATTTTAGAAACTTTGTGCAGTAGCATCTGTGAATCTATTTGGTTATATCTATTGCCCACTTCTAAAGAGTTGAAATGTAGCCCAAAATACCCACACAACTAGGACTGACTGGGTGCTGACAGATGTGAGGTCAGGGGGGAGGAGGGGAAGAAAAACTAAAAAGCAACAGCAGCACTTCACCAGAAGAAGAATCCTGTCAGTTTGACCTGACTTGCGCAACAACTGTATGGCTCATGTGCTTCAGTGGGACTTTTTGGCAATTTTATCTAATAGCTGATTCAATCAGCTATTAGATAAGAGCACCAAAGAGCCCTACTGAAGCGCACAAGCTATACAAATGCTGAGCGAGCTGGGTCAAACTGACACGATTCCTCTTCTGGGCATGGGTGACTGGTGCCACCTTAATCAAGGGGGCACATGCCCCTCCCGCGACCATTCCCGCCAACCAGGGGGGGCCCCCATGGCCAATCCTGTGGATGGGCCGATCCTGTGGACCGGGGGGGCTCCCCGCCAGATCCCGCAATGGCCAATCACTGCAATCGCTGCAGCCACTTCTGAGAGTAGCTGCAGCCACTTCTGGGAACAGGCACCTGCTGATCGCTGCAGCCGCTCCCAAAAGTGGCCACAGCCGCTCCCAGAAGGAGCCGCAGCAATCATAGCAATCAGCCAGAGCTTGCAGGGGTGGGACATCAGTGCTCCCACCTGCCCCCCTGCCCATCGCCTAAGCAGCAAGCACAGCCAGTCAGGGGGTGCACCACTGCTCCCAGGGGGTGCATGTGCACCCTCTACACGTCACCACTGCTTCTGAGCATGCACACTGTGCTCAGCACTGAGGCACACCGAGTGGAAAGCAAAGCGCTGATTTTTTTCTTCTCAAACCTGTCAGCACCCACTGTGTTTACTCTATATGAGAATCTTGGGGTCAGATTTGATATTGGACACCTGATAAGGTTGGGCTGTGGAGCTCTATTTCCATGAAAGGGTAACAGACAAAAAGCTTGCACCAAGGAAGTCTGCCTAGGAGATCAAGAAAGAAGGTAGTACTGCAGTCTGCCAAGACTCAGTGAAGCTTACATCATCCAGGCCTGCAGACTGTAACACAGAACAGCCAATAGGTCTAGAGCAGCCAGATCCATAGCAACTTGCATATAGGTTCTTCAAAGTGAGTGAGTGGGTGTGTGTGTTATTCTGTATAAAATGTTGAGATATGACAGATCACTGAGTTTTCTTTCCATCAAACATGAAATATAAAATGCCAATTAGTGGGTAGAAAGGATACAAGCTTGTGACTACTGTACAGTCATACTTGTATTATTGTTTTATTAATATATTATAGATATCCGTTTTATTTTAAGCATAAACATTTTATGTAATCTCTACACAGCTATGCATTTTTAAAAAATGCATCATTAAATAAAACATTAAAATTTTTAATGATGAGCCTCTAATAAAACCTATATGCAGTATAGTTGTTTACCTTCCCAGAAGAAAAGCAAAGATCAAGGAACAGATTATGGCTAAATGACCTGTATTTTTCAGGAAATTTTCGGCCCTCAACAATTTCTTCATCAGCAATTACATAATAATCCAACATTTTGAGTGAGAAAATTCTGTTAGCAACAATCTTCCTATAGGCTATTTTAAGGCTCATTGGACTATCAAACAAGGTGAGGCCGATCAGATTAGGACAGAAAGATAATGAATGCACATTATCCAGTTTTCCAATTTCATTATCATGAAGATAAAGTAGCTTTAATTCCATCAAGCCTTTCCAAAAGGCTGGGCCTGGAAGACGCTGTATCTGGAATAATGATGAAAATTCTGTTTTCGGTACATTGTAATTTATGAGCATTTGCAGTATAATAATTTAGACTGGCCAAATCCACTTATGTTGAAAACAGATGCAACACCACTAACTATGCAAGGACAGAATCTGGATCATCACTAATTCTTAAAAAAAACAACAAACCAAACATCATGGTGAGACCAGGAGGCCAACTTCTCAACAACAGTATAGAACCTGATGGCATCAATAGTATTAAAAATAACATTATAAAAAGTTATCAAACCATTATGAGCCAATTACTATTTCTAGTGTCATCATTTTACAAATCTAACAAACCTGCAATTACTACCAAATCCTTTCGACTCCAATTAAGATTTACTTTTTCTGACTACTTTTTCCAGGATTTCAGAAGCCCTATTATTTTCATCACTTAATACTATATTGGACAAATAACTTTTAACATCAGTAAGTAATCTGTATAGGTTAAAAAAGGTAATGGAAAATTTTGGGTGAGGGCATTTTATTTTATGCTATCACACTTCAACCAAATGTTATATCTATACAGATAATGAAAAGCCTTTATGTATTGATATGTAAATGGATTAAATACACTTAAGATTTAATCACAAAGCTAATGCACATAGGCACCAATAAAAACTATAACCCTCTTAACAGAGGTGTAGAGATAGGTGAAATTCTGGCCCCATTAATGTTAGTGACAAAACTCATATTGTATTCAATAAGGTCAAGCTTTCATACCCGCTTCCTTCACTAATGAATTTATACTAAAAAGTGAAAATGCTTAACCAGTAGAGGAACTACTGTCTATGAAGAACACTTAAAATCTGCATTTAAAATCTAAATCATTTCTCAGAAATACTGTGCAAATAAGAAAGGTTATAAATAAATTTATCTTCCTGAACTAGTACAGTTCCTAAAGTTATTATTGTCTACCTGGTTTCCATGGAGATCCAGTTTAACTAGATGAACACAACATACAAGTGGATCAATATTTGTAATGTAAATATTAGACAGGATGCATACTTTAAGTGAAAAACAGTGTTGCAATTGTCCCACACTCCTTAAATACAGTTCATTTAACTGAACTAAAACAAGATCTTTCAGCTTCTTTATACTGTTTGCATTGGTAGTTTGTCCACATTCAAGTATTATATTTTCAGAAGGTGAAAAAAGGTATTCAGTTAATTCCTTCATGGTTGGTTATCTGTTCTATGATTCATCCCCAAAAGAGCTAAAAAGAAAGAAAAAGGGCTGAAAAGTAAATTACATTTATTCAACTTTCAAAAGAAAATCTTCAAATACCCAAAGTAAATACCCAAGTGTATGGCACGATAAGACTTGCTCTATAAACATTACATATCCAGGGGAAAGGGAACCACATGGGACTAATTTGAAAATTTAAAAGGAAATGAAAAAATGCAAATGGATGTTTTTCATGTCACATTATATTTATATATCATATTAAAACCCAAAATTGTCACAGTACTTTGCAAATTCTGGACTTGATTCTGCAACATGTGGGTTGTTATTTCATCAACAAATAGTCAAGACAGCAAGTTGTGCATTAGTTGATCCTTCCTAATTAAAGTACAGAAAGATACTTAGCCATGTTAGTGTGAAACCAGACAGAAAGCAGAGCAGGGTGGTTCCTTAAAGATTAAGTCATCATCATCACTGGTAAAGAACCCTGATTATAACATCCAGGGTTCATTTACTGCTCCTCTATTGATATCATATACGCCATCATCTTCTTACAGTTCCTCTCTGCTCTCTACACTGGTCAGACAGGAAGATCCATATGTGAAGGCATGAATGGACACTGATTTGACACCAGGAACACACAAAAGCCTGTGGCAAAACACTTGAATCTCCTGGGACATTCCATCACTGACCCCAAAGTCCCAGACAACTGGTATGTGGGGCATGGAGGGGCACATGCCCCCCCCCCCCGAGATTAGCCCCGACTTGGCACCGCTCAGGACTGGGCAGTTTTTTTGCCACATAGGCCAGTGGTGAGTTGGGGAGTGGGAGCACTAAGTCATGGAGATGTATAGGAGTGGATAT